GCCGCTGTTGTTACAGATTTTGCTTTTGCTCCTTCTACCGCATGACAATTGTTTTCCTCGTCTAAGCAGATACCAGCCTCAGATGCTCAAGGTGAGAGTCTTGCCTTTCGCTCTGGGCTATTGGTTCACTTAATCCATCAATTTCTTTGGTGTTCGTGGTTTTCTTTCTCTCATTACCCTCCTTTCCCCCTGTTTTGTTTTGTTGTGCTTGCTTTTGGGGAGATGTTTCTTCCCTCCTGCAGAAGAGCTGGAATAGCTTGAGAGGCGTTTGAGGAATTATAAAAGTGGCCAGCAAACAGGAGCTCAGTAATTGCAAAGCTACTCTTGCTTCAGAGAGGCAGAGAGAGCGACGGAGGGCTCGGGGGCAGGGGGGGACAAGGGGAGGCCCGTTGTTTTGTTTTGTTGTGCTTGCTTTTGGGGAGATGTTTCTTCCCTCCTGCAGAAGAGCTGGAATAGCTTGAGAGGCGTTTGAGGAATTATAAAAGTGGCCAGCAAACAGGAGCTCAGTAATTGCAAAGCTACTCTTGCTTCAGAGAGGCAGAGAGAGCGACGGAGGGCTCGGGGGCAGGGGGGGACAAGGGGAGGCCCGTTTTTCCTGACTTTTGTTGACTCCCGCTCTGTGATTTTTGCAGAGCACTGTGACTATTACTATCATTTCTTTTTGTCTGTGTCTCACAGTAATGGACTGTGATAGAGTTAAGGCCTTTTGGAGGTGAGCTGTTTGAGAGCTGATGCTTAAACATGTCTGAAGTAGCTGCCGACACTTTCCCCAGCCCCTCAGCTCAGCTGAGCCCTGACGCGTCCCTCAACGGGCTCCCGGCTGAGGAGAACATGCCGGGCACCCAAAGTGAGGACAGGAGGGTCCAGGGGATAGCAGGCCTTGCCGCGACCTGCTGTGTGTGCCTGGAGGCAGAGCGACTAAAGGGCTGCCTCAACTCTGAAAAGATCTGCATCGCCCCTATCCTGGCTTGCCTGCTCAGCCTTTGCCTCTGCATTGCTGGCCTCAAGTGGGTCTTTGTGGACAAGATTTTTGAGTATGACTCTCCTACGCACCTTGACCCTGGGAGGATAGGACAAGACCCAAAGAGCGCTGTGGATCCTACAGCTCTGTCTGCCTGGGTGCCTTCAGAGGTGTATGCCTCACCCTTCCCTGTACCTAGCCCCAAAAGCAAGGCTGAAGTGACAGTGCAAACTGACAGCTCGCTCGTCCCCTCCAAACCATTCCTCCAGCCTTCTCTGTATAACCGCATCCTAGATGTTGGGTTGTTGTCCTCTGCCGCACCTTCGCTGTCACCACCTGCCCTGGAGCCTACCACAGCATCTCAGGCGCAAGCAACAGAAACCACTCTCCAAGCTGCTCCAAAACTTTGTAAGTAGAAACTATGTGTTTCTTTGTTTTTCCTTCCACAAAAAAAAAAAAAAAAAAAAAAAAAAAAAAAAAAAAAAAAAAAAAAAAAAGGCACTTAACTGTTCTGCAGCTGTCCTCGAAGACGATGTGATTGGCATGCAAAGCTTAAATGTGCTAAGATATAGCACATTATATAGTGTGTATATATATATATATACAGGGTATAGCAAGGGTGACCTTCCTAGGAGAGCACCTAGGGACCTCTGAACTTGGTTCTGAGGTGTACATGGCAATGAAGAGGTCTTCATTTGGGGCTTTGTAAAGCACCAATACCACCCTTTTCTCTGCATCCACTTGTAGGGGAGTATGTGATTTACTTCAAGGGATTATCTGATAGCTATTCCACATGGTCTATCAACGCATTTTTCTTAGAAATTTGATTTGCATCCTGTGCTGGGTCTTCCATGTGCGTTCCTTTTCTTTGCCTCGCCTGCAGAACACTTCTGCTACCTCCTTCCTGAAGTCTGGTGCTGGCAAACATCCCTGTCATCCTCCTGAAACAGTCAGGGAGAACAGTGGGAAACAGTGACAGTGTATTTGAAGCAGCTAGAGACTGGGAATTATTAATTTAGCAGTTAACTTATGATCTTTCCCTTTCTCTTAAAGAGCACACATTTCCCTGCATCTTTCCGCTCCTTCAGGAGCTGATTCTTGTTGAACCTGTTTCTCAGACGTAGTTTCATTGACTTTTGTGGGGCATTTCAGGAAAGCATTCTCGCAGGATGCAGGAGAGGTCAGTTTGCTCATCCTTGAAGCAAAAAATATCCAGGGCACCTGGATTATTTTCTCAGTAGCAATCATAAAGCACCAAAATATTGCATTGCTGAAGTGTAATTTCTTTTACATTCATCATTTTAACCCATCAAATCCAGAGCAGATCAAGCCAGCAATTCCTGAGCGGTGTAAAATTGTGGAACTCTAGTAAAAGAGAAGGCAGCGCACTGTTGTGCCGAGAGCACAGGGCTGAGGTTTCCTTTGGAAAGCTGCAGTCATCAGAATGAGCAACTTCGTTCCTTGCAGGACTCCATCTCATTTATGCTGCCTTGTGCCTTCCCTGTCATGCCAAAGGATGGCCTTTTTGTAGGTGGCACATACTGGACCTCACCCTGGAGCCCTGAGGTCAACCAGAAATCAGATACTGAGTTTAGTCCCACCAGGTCTGGACTCAGCATAGATATGTGGCAGTTGGATTAGATATAACATTACATATAACAAGAACCACCTTGCCAGTGAAAATAAGCATAACTACAGTGATTTCAGTGGATGTCCTTCCAGCTGAGATTCAGTCCTGAACAGCAATTCCAGAATCACCGGAAGAAAATTTTAAGTATTCCTGTAGAAGCCCTGCTGCCTTTTGCTTAGATAACGGGTGACAACCAGCCTTTGTATTAAAAGTAATGTGTTTGATGGAAACAGTCTAATAGGGAAATATTGCTGTACAGTTAAACGACGGGGCTTCACCTGTGGGACATAAGGCATTACTTGAATTTTTGGGACACTTAATCACCTTTGCAGTGATACGGAACTATGCTAAGTGATTTTTTTGTTGTTGTTGCTGATGCAGAAGATCTTTTTTTGTAGTGCAAATATCATAAGTGACATTAAAGATAGTGACAGCACTTTTTACTTCATAAAGTGAGACCACCATCCAGTCAAAATGGCCTCTTTCATGTGAGAGGGAGAAGCAACCAAAAGCTAGTTATGCCAGGACAACCCTCACCCTCTTGAATTTCCACATGTAAGGCGAGCCTTTATCAATAACCTGCTAACTTCATCTCTGAAGTAGATTAAGTAGGGGAAAAAGTGAGACTCTTCAGAGCAGTCACTGACAAAAAGCCATTATCTGCATTCAGATCTGCTCACATCTGGGAAATAAATGGTTGTCCAGAAAGTAGGTGATTGGTTTGAGGTTTTTTTTTTTTACTGTTGCCCTAATGTTCTTAAGATAAATGTGTTATAAGGCATCATAGACTTCCAGATAGATACAGACTGAAAGGAGAGGGAGAACTGGCAGCAGGTCAAGTTTGGGTTGCTCTGAGGAAGAAGGTTGTGTAGGCAGTATTTATTCTAACTGTGGCTCGTAATTCTGACTATGGCAAGGGGCTGCAAACAAGATAATATAGCTGGAAAAGTACACTGCAGAAGATCTGCCTAAGAATTCAAAAAGGCATGAAAAGAACTTTTTGGACAGCTCTAAAAGCACTGTCTTGGGGTTTTTGAAACAGCTGCATTTTGAGCACATCATTGTGTTTTATGTAGAGCAAGATTTGTTGGAGAGGTTGACAGATTGCATCAGTGATAACTTTTTTTTTTTTATTAATGCCTTTGACAGCTATAAAATTCTCAGAGAAATGGCTTGGAAAGAAGCATCTGCAAATTGGATTGTCCCTTCTTTTGCCTCTCTGTGTCCTTTTTCCCATTTCAGGCAGAGTGAGGTTACTTGTTCCCAGAAAGCTCCTTTTGTGCTGAATTTTTTTTTCCAGTGCAGGAATAAAAAAGAACTGACACATCTCATATTCTGTGGCTGATGCATTGCTTCTGAACCAGGCCCTTCCATGAGTTTCCAAATCCTTTTCTCCTCTTCCCCTCTCTTTTCTGTCTTACTCAGCATATTCCTCTTAAAGCTGTATCCTTCAAGGTCATAGTCTGTTGAGAGCTAATTGATTCTTCTTTCTCCTGGAGCCCGGGAGAGAAAGCAGAAGAGAGACAATCCTAGTAATTGTGTCTGGTGCACTAAATTCAAGACTAGTCTCACTCCTATTATTATAATTTGCCCTTTATCAATACGGAAATAATCTCTTCCTTTCTGTTTGGTTTCCGTTTTATATTGTAGTATCATTTCTCCTTTGCTGAAACAGAAAGGAAAGGTGAATGTTTTAAAGCTTTCCCATATTTAGGGAGCATGTCAATCAGTGTAATTACACCAGAGGTGATTTCATTACAAGCGGGATATAGTATTACGCTCTAACCTACAATCTCCCTTCCTCAGAGAAGACATGCAGATTGTAAAAGTGCTAACACAGTTCGGGAGCTAAATTTTACTTCTTCCTACACCATCGCCTCTAAATACAATTCCACCCTTTGCGCAGGCTGGTAATAGACAGGCTCTGTAGTACTGTCAAAAATGTGTTTCTGTAATAACCTCATCTATACATCTGCACACCAACCACTCCCCTCCTTACAGGTCTTCCCACTGCCTTCTCTTTCCTTTCAAGCAGACTTCCCCCAAAACCACACGCCAAGGTCTGTGTTAGGGTTGCCTTTCTGGGGTGACAGCTCTGCCAGAGGAGCGCGGTGCTCCTGCCCCGAAGCGGAGGTGCCCGAGCCCTTGGCTTTCGCACCGCGTCTCCCCTGACTTGGTGAGGTGCCACAGGGCACACAAGAGGCAGAGCAGGAGGTAGACCCCAGCACCAGGACTTCGCTGCGGTGGGTTTCCCTGTGAGCAGCGCAAAAGGCCCGGCGGAGAGCAGGGTCCGGAGGATGCCCCACCCCGGCAGCGCATCCGCTCTGCCCCTGCGTCCCTTCCGCTTTCGGCTTCCCTGGCCACCTCGGCTGCTGTGTGCTGACGGGCCATCTGCATGCCTCGCGCCGTGCTGGTGGCCAGCAGGCCGCCAACGGGCACGTCTGCATCTCCCTGCCTCTGTGCCCACCGAGTCGTGCTGGCCGTAAGACGCAGAGGTGGGTGGGTGGATGCGGCACCGGACCTGGGCATGCCCCTCGGGGGCAGGCAGGGCTCCCTCCTACCTCACCAGTGCTGGCCTTTGCCTGGAAAATGTGGCAAAGTGGAGAAAGGGCTGTCAGATGCCCCTGACGGGACTGCTCCCTTCTTGTGTTTCTGATTTCTGCCACTACTTCAGGTGTGCTGGGCCTGCATCAGAAAAGGCTGCTGCTTTCTCATCCTTGGTGGAAAATGTGTTAAAAGAGTGCCTCTGAGGACTGGTAGTGGGTGTTTGCCTAGGAAATGGTCTCAGCTCCCTTCCAAATACGGGAATACTGGCAAATTTCTTGTGTCTTTTTAGAGTTAGGGGTGGGAAAAATGGAAAGAAAACTAGCCTGTCCCTTGTTTTGGTACCATACTGTAAATGTTCCCTGCAATTTCCCTCTGCCTCTTTCGCCTCGGCTTGTTCTTTCTCAGCTCTGCTCTTGATGTCCTTTCTCCTGGACGCAGCGATTTGTGAAGGTCTGTGTTTTACCTCTGGCAGGCTGGGGGGAGCCTTTCCCTCCAGTTACAGGTGCTGCAGCCCAGCTGAAGGCTTTCATTTACGGTCAGGGAAGGTTTGCTCGTAGAAGCTTTACACAACGTTCGTTCTTTTTCTTGAAACAGTCTAAAAACAGTCTAAACATGCTCTGCAGTTCAAATCCCCATTACAACGCCACAGGGTTGAGCCCATGCCTGGCAGCCTCCGAAAGTGCCAAGGTCCGGGATGTCTCGGGGAGCCGCAGGGGACGGTACTCACCAGAGGGGAGAGCGGCTGGTACAGCACAGGCTATATACCAGCCTTTCCTACCTTCACGGCTGCTATGCAGGGCAGTGCCACAAGGGAGGTTGCCTTTTCCCCAAAGCTTGAAGATGCTGGAGGAGAGCACCTTAAAGCAGATGTTGCTCCGTTTCTGATACAGTATTGAACTTGATTAGCTTCAGACACCTGACTTAAGTGCCTACATTAGGAAGCTAGGTGTCCTTCAGCTTCCTATTCAGCGTAAAGAAAGAGACCTCCCCCAGGCAGCTCCCAGCCTGAGCCTAGCAGGAGTAATTCTCTTTCTCCAGAGTGTACAGGGACACTGACCTCGTAATTCAGTTTCTAAGCTGAATGCCTGCTCCACGGTATGAAGGCTCGTATTGAAAGCTGTGACTTTTCTTTGACGTGTCCTGTGAATTAACAGTGTCTTGTCACAGGGAAGTTATAATTAATTATGGTTAAGATACCAGACAAGTTCTGAGCCTAACTCAAGAGTGTAATAAAGAGAC